TAATAAACGTCAATTTTGTTTTTGTTTCTAATTTTTGTGTATGTTGTTTTGTTTATTTTGTGGGGCGAGAGGAGAACTCGGTCCCGGTTGACACCCAGCCCCGGCCAAAGCTTAGACACCAGGGTACCCGGACCCAGTATTCGGCCGCATTTTACTACCCGTAAATCCCTAATAATAAGTCATCAAAATGAAATGGTTACTACTTCTACATGAAATACCTAAATACACGTTTAACAAAAGCTCTTTGATGTTATAAAGTAATCATCATGGTAATGAAATGTTTGGTAGGTGATAATGAATAACATTTAAATAATATAAAATGTATCATACAACAAGTGACATTACTGAATGGATTTCTTTAGTATTAAACAAAGAAAAAAATATCTTGATATTTTGAAAAACAGCCTGAAAGCAACATCAGCAACAACAACAAATGAAGGTGTTAACCACCATGTATAGAGTGACTTGTATGCATGGTTGTGTGAAAAATGTTAAGCACGAGTAGAAAGTTGACTTATGAATGATTAAAAATTATACATGTTCATATTGAATGTCTTTATTCTAAGTTGTTAAGTTCTGTTGAATTTAACATATAAGAATAATTTTCCATCATTACCTCTTTTTCTCTCGTTGCCACCCAGATACTCTCAGGAAAGAACACAGTGTTACTTCTCTCCAAATGCTGGAATATAAAAATATATATATATATATTTAACATATGCAGTAAAAACTAATTTTACCACTTTGATATCTTTATCTTTGTATTTAATTAAATCAAGGTTCTCATACACTTCAGAAAAATAGTAATATCTAATTCATTCTGCATAGGGTTTCTCACACACGAGTAATAGCATACAGTAACAAGTACAAACTTCCGTTTATTGACTTTAAAAAACGAAAAGTCACTTACGACAACATCAACCCAACGGATGATAAGTTTGGTTTCTTTTCCAAATAAGTAAGAGTAAAAACATAAATAGTTGACGCTTAAATACAGCCAACCTTGGCGAGGTACACGACTCTTCCAGTAACTGCAAGAATAATCTGAAAAAAGCAAAAGGGAGGAATGACAACTTTGCATGTACTACTGCTTTTTTTATATAGTTTTATTATAGTTATATTTAATGTACATAAACAAATAATATATATCTATTTTTAAGTTATCATTCATTCATTCATGTTGAGGCCTCAAACTTCCTTTATACATCCTGCTGATTAACTCTGAATTCAACAAGTATCAACTAAATAAATTAATACAGTAAAAGCTTTATCATCTGATCTCTGCTGATCCTGAGCAGTATTAGATACGAAAAGTTTTTCCCTTACTATATTTTACAGGAAATATTTTAACATTTTTTTAATGTCCTAAGGGACGGTATTTCTACATCATCTATAACAATAACAATTTTAAACAATAATGAATATTGTAAAAAACTTTAAACTGTTTACAAATATTTACAAGTGCATTCTTTTAAATGTTAATCACAGTAAAAACAGCTAACAACTGAAGTTTGCTGGCGGGAAAGAACGTAAACAAAGCCAGAGCAGTACCACTAAGTTACAATGAGCAATTGTATTTGGAGATATGAAAATTTTTGGTTAGAAGAGCTTTCCAGATGTGAGGGTTCTGGATATCAAAGCTTTTACTGTAATTGGTAAATACACGTCATGACAAAAATTAAACTAATGTGGATTGTTTGTTTTTTTTCAATTTTGCGCAAAGCTACACGAGGGCTATCTGCGCTAGCCGTCCCTGTAAGACTATAGGGAAGGCAGCTAGTCATCACCACCCACCACCAACTCTTGCGCTACTCTTTTACCAATGAATAGTGGGATTGACCGTCACATTATAACGCCCCCACGGCTGAAAGGGCAAGCATGTTTGGTGGGACGGGGATTTGAACCCGCGACCCTCAGATTGCAAGTCGAGCGCCTTATTCACCTGCCCATGCGGGCCCCTAATGTGGATTGATTTACCAACGGGATAAGCAAGTACTGTCTGAGGAATATTACAGCGATAAGTCCCGAACTTAATATATGTATTTACAATGTTTAAATAACAAACAAGCTGATTATCTGTAAAGTTGCTTTCATGTAACATGAAACAGCTTGAAGTAGGAGCAAGTTGCTGCAAAATTATACACACATCACCTTTGTTGTTATATTACAGAAAGCTGACTTATAACTACTTTATTGACTAGTATCCCTTGATGGCCAATATTGTTTTTGGTGAACTGTTCAGAGTCTGAGTGCAAATAACTATAATAAATAATAAATTTCTTATTTTTCCAAAAACTACATACCTTTAGGAAAATTATTGTCAAATTTCAAACAATTTCATATACTAGTTTTATTTTTGGAACAAAATATGACGAGTGAGACGTTAATACTTACAATCTAAGAATCTTATTTTTCCAAAACTACATACCTTTGGGAAAATTATTGTCAAATTTCAAACAATTTCATATACTAGTTTTATTTTTGGAACAATATATGACGAGTGAGACGTTATATACTTACAATCTAAGAATCCGGTGGTTATAGGTTAAAGACTTACATTTGTAATACAACCAAACAATTCAAATGTTTTTGATATTGAGTTTTCTTAAATTTTAAAAGTACAACATCTCAGTAGTCAAAACAAACGACAGAGTGGAAGACAACAGTTAGGTCAACATCCTTCAGGGTGTTAGGTTTTCAAGACCATTCCATTCAATCTGTTTGGAATTATACATCTTTAAATAACCCAAATATTCAGTAACAAGTGAGCTGTACTCAATCATGCATATAGCAGATTTGTGCTAATGATGGCTATGATACAGGAAGTACTGGAACACATCAAACTGAAAAACGTAAGGAAAATGTGCTTATCAATATTTGATCTTTTCTAATAGCAAGTACTGAAATAGTCAATATGCTTAACCAAAAAACCAGATGACATTCACCTTCAAGCAAGTAGGGTGAGAAGTGGAGAGGAGCCTTAAGTTGATTTGGTTGTTTGGAATTTTGTCTGGATTTGATTTTATATTTCCATTAATTTCTAAAATTTCCAGGTTATTTAGTTGTTTTTTTTACCTTTTCCAAAGACACAAAATTTTTCAGTTTTTTCCCAGATGAAATTAGTATTTATTGAATGATAAAAACGTGAAAAAAAAGGGCAACTACTTCATTGAAATATTTTCATGAAGAAGGTTTCAAACTCTTATACTTTTCACTACATGCATAAAAGGTATTAAGCCTTGAGTATTAATATGTATGTATTTAAGCTAACATCCTCTTTCGGTTAAGGATCGATCAAAGTGAAAATATACCATATACAAACACATACTGAATGTAGTTATCTTAGATGCTATTAAGGATCGATCAAAGTGAAAATATACCATATACAAACACATACTGAATGTAGTTATCTTAGATGCTATTAGGTTTGACGTAAAGTTTACACACCTGGGTATTAGAAATAATTCTGCATCAAAATATTTTTAATAGTTTGAGAACCCAAGTTAGTAGGAACTAGGCCAACATTCATCAAGATATTTATGTACGTTCAAAGAAAGAATTAATAAGCAACTACAACTGTTTTTGTGTACAAGACATTTCATACATTGAAACAGTAGTTCTCTAGAGTTTAGTACCATGACACGGCTAGTAAATATACAGTTTTAATGCTCAACTAAAGCTCGTTGCATATATAAAAGTTGCATCCTGGATGAAAAACATGAAACAAGGCTCAAAAAATATCAACAGAAGTAATTCTACAATTAAATTCTTAGATAATTATTTACATTATCCTAAAATCTGGCACTCCAAACATACAATTCACAAGTTTCTCCTCTTCTGGCATTCCAAAAACTTTAGCAAATTTTGTAGCAGAGGTTTTGAATTGGAAGCTATCATCATCAAGAGGCTGAAGGTTCTCAGAGTTGCTATGAGCAAGAAGGCTTTCTATTTTACAGCGAACATAGTCTGTTGCTTCATCTTCCGTATCAAATGATTCTGGAACAGTATGTAAAACGAATTATAAAATGCACACAATTAACATCCTTATCTATAAAAACATGTTGAAAAACTGAATTGACTTAGATGCTCATGTTTATTTTTCAGCTTCCCAGATTTTTGGGCACTTCTGTATTACTTAAGTCTCCTTCTAAGTCCAACAATATTGCAACTGCATTAAAGATTACATGAAAAATGTTATTCTTAGATTCTATGCGATAAAGTTTATGTACTGTATTTAACGTATGCTTCGATCTTTCATGAAACTGTACAGAAAGATAGAAATAGACAACAAACCAATACCTAGAATGATTGTATCTCCACTGTTATTTCTTTTCCTATATCTCATAGTTACAGCATTGAGGTTCTTCCAGTTAAATACGAAACTTTATTTTCAAATAAATTGATTTGTGCCAAGATGGAATTACAATAAATCAAACTTTACATTAATTAACTTCACATCATTTAAAAACAGTTTCAGCCAAAAAAATACAATGTGCATTACTTGTACGTTAATTGGCAAGGAATTATATTTCTTGGACGGTCTGTTTACATTTGTTTGATGGAATTTTTTCAAGTTAAATAACTGGTTTATGTTTCTGTGGATCTTTAGACTAAACGTAAATGTAAAAAAAGATAATATTAATTGCTAAATAGATTTTGGTCCAGTCCGGAGCTTGACATCAACTACAAAACATACTGAAAACGTTTTGAAATCTACTACTTCATTATGATTATCTTAATCAAAAACCTTTTTTTTGCTCATCACTAATTAAATGTGAAAGTAGGGTATGATCTAATTTACTGTCAATAAATTCTAAGAATCAAATACAAACTTGCCTAAAGTTTTTAGAAGGTTGTTTTTAAGCCAATCTACTAGTTCATTATGATTATCTTAATCAAAAACCTTTTTTTTTGCTCATCACTAATTAAATGTGAAAGTAGGGTATGATCTAATTTACTGTCAATAAATTCTAAGAATCAAATAAAAACTTGCCTAAAGTTTTTAGAAGGTTGTTTTTAAGCCACTCCCAGTCTCTCACTATTTCATTTTGACTTAGTGCACAGGCAACAACTGTAAAAAATGACACTAGGAATTAAGATGATTCATGATTTGTAAGTTCTAAAAAACTATTGTTACTACTATCCAAGTAATAGAAAAATTGATAGAAGTTAAGTTAAAGATCATAAAATCTTTACAGATTATTTACTTTTACACAATTTTCACATTAGTACAAATGATTTAAACTTTATACTACAAACATTTTAAAATTGGGAAAATTTTAATGGTAATGTTTTGATTACTAAAATATACATCATTTTTTATCACATTAATAATACCTTGGTTCCTACAGCTGTCATCTGACGAAATTTACAATTTTTTTAAGACCAATCCTTACAAAATCTAAAAATGCTATTTTCACATCAAATTTCCAAAAAATTAGGCAAATTTTAATAATAAACAATCCTTCAAATGTGTTTAACAACAATGTGCATTT